TATGAAAACAAAAGTTCATGTCAAAGTGTATTTTCTACTTATTAATAGGTTCTTCGTGGAAAACCCATTACTTCCACTATTACACTCTTTTTCAAAAATTACATAGAAACCTTTGTTTTGTTTTCTGGCAAATTCTATATATTTTTCTCTTTACTGATGCTCATAAATTTCCAATTATTACATTTATCTTCCTATATATTTATAGAAAGAAGTATGATGTTTTCTTGAGTTTTAGATGTAAATATACCCGTAATAACTTTATATATCAACTATTAAGTCAAATAAAACAGATAAAGAGATGAAAACAGACCTGTAAAACTTCATATTGCACTATAATATAACTTGTTTTGAAGCTTTCAGCGATTGTCTCCACTCTCCAGTGAACACTAGCATTTGGGGGAAAAAAGGGGAAAATGAATATAGGTGCGAGGTGCCTCACGGGTTAACATATTGGATTTAATCTCCAAATAAAATTGGGTCAATTATGGAGTTGGTCATCAGAATATTAGATTAATTAATATTTTTAAGATACTTACAAATTGATCACCAAAATTGATTTAAGAAGATTGAGTTAAACATAAATGAATGAACATAAATGAACATAACCGAACGAACATAAACGAACATAACCGAACGTTTACGAACGTAAATGAACGAACGAGACATATGTTCATGTTCGTTCATTTAATTAAACGAACACACAAGCTTGTTCATGTCGTTCATTTAATAAATAAACGCACATAAACGAACTTCCCGCCGCACGGTTCGCTGAACGTTCAGTTTATTTACAGGCCTATTTCTATATATCCATTTTCGATTTACTTTTATAACACATTATATGTTTGTTGTTGTAAATATTTTATTTCTATAGATCCATTCTTTTTTGTCTTTTCTCTAGACTTACATATAATTTAATTGGTTATCATACTTATCTATATATACTTTAGATTCTCAAACTAAATATTAATAAGTATTTATAATGATTTAAAATAAATTATAACTGAGTTGTGATAATATTAATTTGTTGATAAAATATTTTTGTTACATATATTTTAATGTTAATTTTAATGTTGCTTATACTTCATCATGGATAATGATATATGTTTATATATATCATTTGTTTGAGTTGTTTAGTTAATTTTAAAAAAAAATTATGATTTTTAATTGATTAATTTAAATATTTCAATGATTTTAAGGAAAATGTACAACTTACGACGAGTCTTATAATTGTAAAAGATTTTCTGTTTAATATGATTTACAATAAATATTTCTGAAAAATAAAAATATTTGAAATATATGAAAAACAACCGAACACGATTTTTTTTTATCGTTTACGTTAAATGTAAATATCTAAGTTGACATCAAGCCATGTTCAAAGTGCTTTTAACCGCTTTAAGTTTCAGGTCTAATTTCACTTCAAATTACCATTAATGGCATTGTTTATGTATCCTAGACGTGATTTGCTCAATCTTTAATTCAGATTGCTTCACATATAGATTTACCAAATTTGTTAAATTTTATATTTAAAAGCAACTGGTTACATGAACTATTTAAGAAGGTAGAGAGCATAAATTATGGCAATTTTCATTTTTGTTTGTTATTATAATGGTGATATCAGGTGCCTATATTCGTTTCTTGCTTCTTTTCACAACTTTTGTCAGCCTGATTAGCAGTCATAATCTGCCTGAAAATCACGTTGCTCTGTTCATCTTTGGTGATTCGTTGTTCGATCCCGGAAACAACAATTACATTAACACCACCACTGATTTTCAGGCAAACTTCATTCCTTACGGTGAGACCTTCTTCGAATACCCCACCGGCAGATTCTCCGATGGCCGTCTGATCCCAGATTTCATTGGTATACACCTTCAAAAAACTTTCGAGTTTCGATTTGCCCATCGATTCATTTCTCACCATTTTTGTTGTTGCAGCTCAGTTTGCAGGGTTGCCAATAATTCCAGCGTATTTAAAGCCCGGGAAGCATAAGTTTACAGATGGGGTGAACTTCGCATCTGGTGGAGCCGGTGCTCTTGTCGAATCTCATCGAGGATTTGTATGTCATATTGGTTTACCATCTTAAATGCTCTGTTAAGCCATGTTTAGTTCATACTTAGATGGAATTCGTGATTTATTTTAAACGCCAGGTCGTGGACTTAGAAACTCAGATAAAATACTTCAAGAAAGTTGAGAAATCATTGAGACAAGAGCTGGGAGATGCAGAGGCCAAGAAATTGTTGTCCACAGCTGTTTACTTGATAAGCGTTGGGGGCAATGATTACTTGACCAAAAACTCAGCTGCCTCAGACGAAGAGTTCGCTTCCATGGTGCTCGGCAACCTCACCGTCGCTCTCCAAGTAATACATACCTAAAAAAACTAACTTGTCTCTGTTCCACCCATTTCCAGTAGTTGCTTAAAAACCCACTTTCTTTTGTTAAAATCGATGCAGGAAATATACAAGAAAGGAGGGAGGAAATTTGGGTTCCCAAATCTGATACAGTTGGGTTGTTTACCGTACATGAAAGCACAATCAGGGGGTTCCTGCAACCATGAAGCGACGGCAATAGCAGAGCTTCACAATGTCCTACTTCCCAAAACCCTGGATAAGTTAAAGGAGGAGCTTCGAGGCTTCAAATATGCTCTTTACAATATATATCAATCTTTTTCTGAAAGGTTGAACGACCCTTCAAAATATGGTAATGTTAAATCGCTGCTTTTATTCTTCTTTCTTCTCGCACGAGCAATTAAATAAGGAGGGTCCATTTCATGGGTTTATTTATGGTGTGAAGGTTTCAAGAATGCGACGACGGCGTGTTGTGGGTCTGGTTTGTACGGCGGAGTTTATAGCTGTGGAGGGAAGAGAGGGGTATCGGAGTATGATTTGTGTGATGATCCGGCTGATTTCTTCTTCTTCGATTCGTATCATCCCTCCGAGAAGGCTTACCGGCAGTTTGCAGACTTAATGTGGGCTGGAGCTACAGATATCGTACGGCCTTACAATTTCAAAACGCTATTTGAACACAAAGCATCATCGATTCATCATTCCAATGTCGAGCTTTAATTTCTCCGATAAATTTCATGTTCCAATGGAATAAATCAATTACTATATTAATGTTGTTTTATGTTTATATTTCTCGCTCCATAATTATTTGAAGATCGCGATTTTGTTACTTTTATGGCTATTGTTCATTGGGGAACATGTCTTTGGTGAGACGCGGTCAAGTTGAAGTCCAATTGATGACAACGATGGGTGTGGGTGATAGGCATGGTTATAGGGATTAGATTTAGGGTTTTTAAAGCTCGAGATAGTTTTTAAGATTTTTTAAAATTGCGAGTTTTTAAAATATATTTTTAACCTTTAAAAAAAAATTTAAAAATTATAAGAGTATAACACATATCACTTAATAGAATAAATTAATATTTTTGATGACTTAAACACTTAAAATGATAATTTTTATAACATTAAACATTAAAATGATAATTTTTATAACATTAAACATTAAAATAAATTAAAAAATACTTTAAATACTTATTACATAAAATTAATATAATTTAAATACTTATTTTATATTTAAACCTATAATAAATAACCCTTTAAAATCTTCGTATGCCTATCACGTAATCGAGTACCTAAAATTGTGGCCGAACTCGAGAAAAATCCAAAGAGGCAATCAGGTGTGGCGTCAGCATATATGATTGACGATTGAAATTGTGGACCAATTTTAGATAAAAATATGTATTTTTTTGTATACGTTCTTATCCTTTAAAAGTTTTATGATAAGAACAGGGGAAGCATCAACCAACAAAAATATAGTATTTTTTTCCTCTTTCGGCGAAATGTCATGTTTAGACACCAAAAATGGTTGATAACATCTCATCTATGGGGGCACGATGGGCACATGTGTTTGTTAATCAAAATAAGATTGGATACAACAAATACATAAAAAAATGTAGCAACCTACAGGATTATGAACGGCACTTTTTCATGCGGCCTTTAATTTTAGGGTAAAATACATAAATGATCGCATAATTATAAGTTGGATAGAGAAATGACAATCATTTTTAAATGTGTATCAATACAATTACTAAATTATTTAAACGATTTCAATATAGTCACACATCGTTAACATTTAAAATGTGGCAGTTAAAAAAATAGTATAATTAGGGGATGGGTCCTTGTAAAGTTTTGTATTCGTAATTCTGGAGCAATGCTTTGTTTTCTTCCATTTTAATTACTGTTTGTGTATGATTTGTTTCCTTAGATTTTTATTTAATACAATTTGTTCTTGATTCTGTTTTTAACTTGTCTAATACCTTAATTTGAGCATTGACTTTAAAATATTTTATTATTGTCATGTATTAAATTTATATATTAAATCCCTTGAATTTTAGAATTAATCAATTTGATCACCTAGATTAAATTTAATTCTTAATTTTTAATTAGGTTATAATTTTAATTTAATTTAATAAATTTATTTATCCAATTGCATTTTAACACCCAAAGGAATCCAACTTGGTCCCAAGGCGCATGCCTTAACCACTAAGCTAATTCTCACGTTTATTATTGAGATAATACATATGTTACATAACTTGTTCAAGTTTAGCTTGAAAAAAAAATTAAAATAACTTAATTGGATTTGAACCCAAAATGAATTAGTAATCAAACAAGTCTTAACCAATAAGATGAATCTAATATTTAGGAATTAATTATAATATGTATATATATATATATATTATAGTTAATGATAAAAAATAAAAATGGATAAGTGAGAACTTACGTCTAGGCCAATTGAGAATACGACAACACTTAAATCACTAAAATAAATATAATAGTTTATTTATAATTGATTTAACATTTTAATATTTTTAAACTAAATTTATTGTTCTGATATTTATTTTTTAAATATATATATGAAATCATTAAAAAGTAGTTTACTATTCAAACTATAATATATATATATATATATATTATAGTTAATGATAATATATATATATATATATATATTATAGTTAATATTCAAATTATAATCTTAAGATTGTGACACGTGTCACAACTTGATTGGAGAAATAAATATATTAAATTAAATTGAAATTATGACCTAATTAAAAATTAAGAATTAAAGTTAACATTGGTGATCAAATTGATCAATTCTAAAACCTAGGGGATTTAATCTACAAAATTAATACATGACTAAAATAAAATATTTTGATGTTAATGCTCAAATTAAGGAATTAGACAAATTAAAAACAAAATCAAGATCAAATTGGATTAAATGAAAATTCAAGGAAACAAATCATATACAAGTAGTGACCAAAATGGAAGAAAACAAAGCAGGGTGATGCGCCGTGAATACGTAACTTTACTAGGACTTGCACACTAATTATATCAATTTTTTAACTACCACGTAAACACCTCCACTAAATATTAATGACGTATGGCTATTTTGAAGTCATTTAAATAGTACAATGATCATATTGACGCAAATTTAAAAATAATAATCATTTCTCGACCCAATCCAACCCATAGTTAGGTAGTTTAACCCACAAGATTTTTTTTTTTTAATTTTATGTTTGAAATGGGTCGGGATAGATTTGTGTGAAAAATAATTGGATTGGAACGGAATCGAATATTGATTAATTTTTAATCTATTCGGTTTAATTTTTTTTTATTTAATAAAATACCACAGTATGTAAATTATTCAAAACTTTCCATTTGATGAAAGCGTTGATGGGCACACAAAATTTTACAATAGTAGTTGCTGTTGGTTTACAAACCCAGGGAAATGCCCTGGGTTTTTGGTTACTACTAAAGTCTTTATGAAATGTCTAAAAAAGATTAGCCGACCCTTATTCCCATATGTAATGCAGCAAAGATTGATTTTATTCACCACCTACAGGTTTAATCCCCGTATCTGGCGGAATGGTCTAGATATAAATCACTTCTGGTCAGTATAAACCGAGTCAACATCATCGAGTTCAAGCAATTTAGACATAAGTTCCTTGTTCAAGCCCATAGCCTCGTCATCCACCTGAAACCAACCAACATATCAATGGTGGCGCCAATGCAATAAGCAAGATGGTGATACAAGGTGATTAGGAAATCAACTGTGATAAGCATTCAGCACATCGTTAGGTCAACATCAGCCATATACAAGGCAAAAGGTCCTGGTTTAGAAGAAATCAAAGGGCAGCTCACAGATCTTATCAACATTACAGAAAAATGTACCTCAATGGTGTTTAGTGGAATTAGCTCGGAACCATTATCAGTTTCAAAATTTATTCCTTCCTCACGTAGCTTTGAAAGTATTGTTCCATAATTTTCTGCTGAGCTTACAATCTTGTAATAGCTACAAGACGAAATAGTGTTAAGCTTTACCCACTCCAAGTAGCAAAACAACTTATATGTTTGGAAAAGGAAAATGGGATCGATTTGTAACAGATCATTGAAAACCATATACGTGGACTTACTAAAGCATACAGATCTGGTAATTGATAACAAAGATATGTGCAACGCATTTGTAGAATCATGATCCTGTCATTATATGTCCAGATTTTTTTCTCGTCTGGAACAATTCAAAAAATATCCGGTCAGAAAAGAAAAAAGAAAGTCTCAAAATTTTTATGCAAACAATAATTAGTTCCTCTAAAATTATGTAGAGAAAGTATGGAATGAGTTTATGCCATGTATTAAAAAATTTGAAAATCAAAAGAAGCCGAAAAAGATGCAGTAAGTATGAAAAGGAGAAAGTAACTAAGAATTCAGTTTGGAAATGAAGGAGCATTACCTCTCTGATCTATCCTCGTCAGTATCATCTTCATATATGGGAGGCTCAATAACATTCTCAACTCCAGCATTTAATGCAATGTCAAGGAGCTGGTCTTTGTCAGCATCAGTGAATTTAATATTTGCAACTCGAACTCGCCTGAACTTGAACATAACGGAACCAGGATCTACCATCTTTGCTCCACAGTCCTTGACCACCTCCCTAACAGCTGCAACTGATCGAGTTATTTTATCTGTTAAGACCTCTACTACCATGCTTACTCCACCATAACCATATACCTGAAAGAAGCAGTCTTCTTGAAGAGTTAAGAAAACCCAATCTTGTATACAATCAAAGCATCTAAATACAAGAAGATACCCTCAATGACTATCACTACAGCAACAAATCTATAAATAAAAGTAGACCATATAAACAAGCCAACCTCGTAAACTTTCTCAATGTAAGCCTCTTGCCCTTTCTCCAAAGCTCTCTTGATATTGCGTTCCAAAATTTCTTTGGGTATATCAAGCTCCTTGGCCTTCTCAATTACAGCTGCAAGAACTGTATTTGAAGCTGGAACTGCACCGCCTCGCTTTACATTGCAGTGCATAAAGAATCAAACTCATGAGATTCAGTCTCCATACAGAAATGTATAGAAACTGGTCAAAGTAGAATAACTAAATGGTAAAACATGATATAAGAACTTCCAGCAGTTAACAAATATAATCAATTTTCAATGCTCCTTTTTGGCATTAATATAGAAGATCAAGCAAGGACCATGAGCTACCAACTTACGCAGATACAATTTCTTTTCCAATCTTTGAGTGAACTTTAGCCTTCTTTGCATCTTGAGCACCCTGAGACTAAGTAGAACAATAGTATAAAAATCACTTCTTTAATTGTGAATTTCTGACCGCATATATAAGAGGTAAAAACATATTTCAGCTCCACGCTAAAACAAGAGTAAGCGTGGTATTTAACTATTTCAAATTCGTAAATTACAATTGAGTTTGTCTTCTTTTAGAACTTTCATCAAACAGGTAGCATCCAAATCTAAAGAGGCTATATTTATTCAAAGGGAATTTAATAAATAAGACAAAATAGACCTTTTTGCCGGCAATCTTGGAAGAGCGCCTCCCCATGCAGAGAGGAGGGAAAGTGGAGATACTTCGTAATTAATGTTCATCGCTGTTAGTATCAACGTGATGAAATATTGAAGTTGAAGATGAAATTGAGGAAACTGATGATAATAATTTCCTATTACTTTTTAGGAGGCCAATCGAGAAACACTCGAGGAAGTCGAGGGAACCCCACTTGTGAATCTGTGGAGAACAGCACCAAGGGCTCTCAAGGTTGAAGATGATCCCATCTTTTATTTGCTTTACTAGGGATGTGGGATTTGGTTTTGTTTTGGGTTTCTTAACAAATGGTAGAGGACAGTGTTGGTTTGCACTTCCTCGGACTAGCAGTGTGTAAAATTATTCGACCCGGATAAAAAAATCCGGTTAATTTTTAAAAAAAAATACCCGATCGGGTCGGATACCCGGACCGACACTTTTCAGATCGGGCTCGGATCATAAAAATTGATTTTTTCGGATACACGGTTGATTTTTTTTAATATATTTAGTTTTCATGATATGCAAGGGATACATCATTGTTTCTGGGGTTATTGGTTTGAGAGCCTTGCCACTGAAGATCCAAGAAGAGATGATGGCGAAGGGATACATCATGTTGATGCCAATGTTGAATACTGTTCAGTGATTAAAACCAAATTATGTTCTCATCGAATTCTGATGGGTGCTGAAATGGATTGCTGCGATTCAGCAGATGAGGGAAGAAGATTTTATGTGGAGTTGAAAACAAGTCGTGAGTTGGATTATCATACAGAGGAAAGATATGAAAGAAAGAAACTGTTGAAGTTCTGGATTCAATCATTCCTGGCAGGCGTTCCGTATATTGTTATTGGATTTAGGGATGATTCAGGACGACTTGTTCGCACCGAGAGACTCAGAACCAAAGACATCACTCATCGAGTGAAAATGAAGAACTACTGGCATGGAGGAGTCTGCCTGGCATTTGCCGACGAGGTATTGTGTTGGTTTTACGGAACAGTCAAAGAGAATGAGGATTACATACTGCAGTTTGCACCGTCATTCAACCGGTTAGAGCTTCTTCAAGCGCAATCTTGCCCCGATGCGATTACTAACCAAGTTGAACAATCGTAGCTATTGGCAGGCTTCTTGTTAGTTTGTAATTCGGATAGTTCAAATACAGAAGATTAAAGAGGATGGTTTATATTTTACCAAAAAAAAAAAAATGATATGCAAGGGATGCATGCTACTGATGCAAACACATCTGGGTATCCGGGTACCCGACATAAGGGTACCCGGAACATCCGAGTCGGGATACGGGTCGAGAAATCATTGACCTGGATGTTCCGGGTACCCGGATTTGTACATCCCTACCTCGGACAACGAACAGATAACTTGGACCTTGGTCGAATATACGAGGCCTTATGTCCTAGTCCTTTACCGATTGCACTATAGCACAAAATGGGCCAAAAAATTCCAACTTTATTTTTACAGTGCTCTCTCTGCTCTTTTTGCTCGCATGGAAAATTAACTAAAGAAATTCGGCAAAACGTTCTTACATTGTTCGGCTTAAACTTTACCAAACGTAATAGGCCTGCCAAATCAGTTCTTAAACCACTCATGCAATTACCCTTAACACTGAAATTATAATTCAAATTTTCGATAGAACAAATAGAGCAGAACCATATGGCATTGGAACCGCCATTTTCAAGTGTCAACCATTAACTTGTGTTTATTATTTGGTTAAATGAACATGGAAGAAAAAAGTATGAGGAAAGTGTGTCATAAGCTCCAAATGAAAAGTAAAGCAAAAACCTTTACAACCACAACATTAAGAAAAGAACAAAAAAAAAGGTTGAAACTTGAATAAGAAATCATGTCCGGTAGTACTTTATTTCCAATCACAAAACACCCTACTTTTGCTTTTCCATCGAATGATGTTTCCAGCTCCCCCCACCAATAATCTTGAACAACATCAATACATTGCCTTCACCAATAATCAATAAAAGCAACATGAAGAACAGAAGGCTTTTTCAAGTACCCTTGTGTTGTCCTTCAACGCCAGTGCAATTGACAAAACATGCTGATATGGACTTGCATTGCCATTGGAATCCACATTCTGAGCCCTTTGTCGAGCACAATGTCCCTCAGTGACTGGCATCTGACCACAACATTCAAATCATCCATGCAAATATTGTGACAAGAAGCCAACACAAGGTATTCCAGTGACTCATGGTTCCCAAATGCTCTAACACCAACTCCGGTGACCAACTCGCAACCTGTTAAATCAATAGCCACCAAGTTCACACAATTTTTAGCAATTGCAGTAACTGTGGCATCCGATAAGTTGATCAGCCAAGCCAAATTCAATTTCTTGAGACTCGAGAGTGAAGAAACCGCGAGGCCACCGGTATCTGTTATCTTTGGCCCGCACTCAGCTAAATTTAGCTCCTCCAAACAACACATGTGCTTCAACATCGACACCCCAGAATCAGTGATTCGATCACACTCTGCGAGGACCAGTTTTTTCAACGTTCTTGAGATGAACCCAGTTGCTAGAACAGCCAGTCCATGGTCAGTAATCAATGAACAAGCTTCCAAATTCAAAACCCTTATTGAATCCGAACACCCGATTGCTTCAACGGCTTGATCATCCACCAAATTACACCTTCCTAAATCCAGAGATGTCAAATTCTTGCAGAACTTGACGAGGGAAATAACAGCAAGGTTGCCTACATTTTTTCTCTTTCGCAACAAAGCTTTCGTTAGATTTCGGCACCCATTAGCCAGAGCGCTAACCCCATCGTTTCCAACATCTTCAAAGCCGGAAACCACATCAACTTCATCGAATTCTTCAAGTGTTTTCCTAAGATTAAGGTTAAGGACTTGGAGCCTGGGGCATGTTTTGGCCACAAATTCAAGGTGGGGATCGGAGATAAAAATCTGGGTTTCAAAGAAAAGAAGATTTGGGAATCTGGGCATGAAACTGGGGAGGAGATCGGGCTCAAGAACCCGAATGGATAATCGGGATAAACCTTCCACCCGCAGCCATTGTTTGCAGACTTGAGAGAAGGATTTCCTGTCGTTTTGATCATAAACCCGTTTGAGAACTAAGCTTAACTCGTCGTCACCCAGTCTCGACATGAAGATAACAGAATCGTAACTTCTCAAGTTTTTCTATGAATTAAGAACACAGACAAAAACGACTATAGATACTCCCAAAAAAAAAACTACTCCAAGACAAAAGCTATGTAGACCGCAAGAGTATGCGTATGGCACCCACTAATTTCAAATCCGGGGGTTTATATGGGAACAACCCATTTCCCAAATTTAAATACTTCTTCAATGAGAAAATGAGATATGAAATCTTTCTTAAAATTTAAAAAAAAAATCAAAAGTGGTATGGCTTAACACTGTTTTCTATTTTAAATTCTTTTTTCCTCACAATATGTTTAATTTTTAACCTTCAAAATAGAATAACATTACTTACGGCATAATTTCTTTTCCTTAAAAATGACTTTAATCAAATAATAATATTTTAAAGAAAAAGTTTATCAAAGACCACTGGATATTTATTAACTAATGTACCAGTAAAACACTGCGTGGATTGGTTGGCAATGAAGAAGAAGAAGAAGAAGCATGAGCAACATGCACGTGGCATGTTGTCCTTTGGTAACCATATTACTTTCAGTATTGGAGCTCTGACTCAGCTGCATCAAATTAATGCAAATCTACCCTCCTTTCAAATTATGTGTGCGCCGCATTAATAAACATTTTTATTTATTTATTTATTTTTACTGATTTTGTGTTATGAATGATTTACATTTTCATACGAATATACCCATATTATACAATTAAAAATATAAAAGAGATTATTGATAATACCATTATATTAATGATTAAATGAACTTAACATCTCATTGTCAATAATTCGAATTATAGCTTAGGAAAGTAAAAAAAATGTGTTACTTTTACCTCGATGACACATCTTAATCTCACCTAATCATTGATGGTTCAAGCTTGCTATTCATGGCTGCCGACATTATGTACATTCCAAGCTTAAACATTAATTTTCCTACTTTCGCTTTCTTTCACCTCTTCTTTTTAGTTATTTCTTTGTTGCCTATTTTTAAATAGCGTAAACCACACAAACGATACCCGACTACATGACTCGGTTTTATTGAGTACTTTAATTATTAAATATTATAAAATGATCATTCGATTATTTATTATGTTTTAAATTCGTCATTTTTCGTAAAAAAAAATTAATGATTATCTGAGTTGGATTTAATTATCTGTATGAGATATGATAGTCGTTTGAGATTTTAGGATCAGATTTTAACGTATCTCATACAACATATTAGCATTCAGCTCGAACTGCCGTTAATTTTTCAACGAAAAGAGATGAATTCATAATATAATGAATAGTCAGGTGACTATTTGTAACTTTTAATAGTTGGAGGACTCGACAAAGTAACATCTTATAATTAGAGGACCATTTGTGTGCTTTACCCTTTTAAACAATCTCTATTAGTCTATTTCGTGTCTTTAGTAATATGTCCCAAAATTAAATTTATCTTCCTTTATTTTTCAACCCTTCGATTTTTATTTTTATATGATTTTCTGGGTTAAATGTCGAATTTAAATCCATATTACAAGAGAATGTTAATGTTTTGATTGGTATTTACCGTTCTGCTTTGAGTATTACGAACTTTTTTTTGACAAACATATTATGAATGAATTTACAACTATCTTTTTATACAATTTAAATTTACAGCTAAACTTTTAAATTTATTAAAATTTATAACCAATATTTTAACAAATAAAATTTATTATTCAATATTAACTTTTAATGACTTTAAATAAAAAAATACTTCAAATATTTTATTAAGAAACATTAATTTGATATAAAATAAATAAAAACGCGCACAAACCAACTTACGTCAGTGGTTAAAAGAATCGTTATTATTCTCATCGGCAGATTCAAGCCTATGGCCTACCCTATGCCCAAAAAAGGGGAAATTACTTATTGAGTCACTCATAAATTATTTACATTTTATTTTGGTCATATAACTGTTATTTATTTTAAATCACACTTAATTTACGTCTTGGTTCTATTTTGGTCACTCATCTTTAAAATTTTAGCAATGGTATTGAGTGTCATCATATGATAATGCAATATCATGATTGAAAAATAATTTTAAAAAAATGTAATGTTGATATTTTAAAAAATATCATATAGCTTTGATTTTGAAAAAAATTAATAGCTGAGTGACCAAAACATAAATTAAGTAATAGACGTGTGAGTAAATAGTTTACCCTAAATAAAAAAACATGTATAATTTATTTTATATAAAAATTGTATTATGTCTATATTAGCCCTAGTTTATAAAATTTTTCTGGCTTCGCCATTAGTTATTCCTAAAGGTCATAGGTTCAAGACCCCTAGTTATAGTAAATTGATTAATCGTTCATTTTAAAACGATTAAGAGTATTTAGAATAAATATTAATTTATAATCACTTTATCTTAATAAAAAATAAAAAATATTAATAAAGAGAAAAAAAATAAGCAAACAATGATATATCATTGTTATAATTGAGTATTTGTAGTCCACGGTTTTAATTTAAGAATAAGCAAACAAGAAATTCCAAGTATGATTCCTCCCCCGTTTGTATGTAATGAGAAGAGGGAGGAAGGGGGGATACGAGGGAGAGGGACAGGTGTGAAAGGGAGAGGAGGAGGTGCGGAAAATTTCTTAAATATTTTTTAATATAATAATTTAGTTGCAAGTTTTTCAAATAAAAATTTTAAAATTGATCAGAATACCATACGTATCCGTTAACGGAGTTTTTAAAGACCGTTATAATTATAGCACCTAAAGTGATACGTTTGCAACGTTAGACATCAAAATGAATCAGAAAAAAATTTAGAGATCACTTAAAAAATATATAATTTAGATACCTATTTTTTAACTGAGTCTAAAATATTTTAAAATTTAAGACTAATTTAGAATAAAGGTCAAGTTTGGCGGTTTTCTACGCAAGTAATTATATGGTAAATATAAAACAAATATTTTATATACCAATAGTTAAATTAAAACAAAATGCACAAAGGTGTTAAAGGACAAAGATAGCATTTTATTTGGACTTTAAGAGTTTTATTGATTTTTATTTTAAAAATTTAAAGTTTGTCTCTTTTTAAAGGTGAAGTCAAGTTTGATGACTAATGGTACTCATTAACTCTGAAATTTTAAGTATTGAACTGCATATGGCAGGTTTTAGTGGTTAGACAAGACCTTAAGATGAAATCAGGGAAGATTACATCCCAATGTGCCCGTAAGATTCCTTTGTTACTCTTAAAATCTGAAATTTTGCTTTCGATTTTAAAATCTACGTCTTTTTGGCTTTACCAACATTAGCTCCTCAGTCACACACATCCACTCCCCTCCCACCGTAACACTGGCATGTATGCAGAATTGATGTATAGGTATGTTTCTCTGGATAACAAGTCAGTTTCTTAATTCAATATTCACTTTGTTGGAAGAACCTCTTTATCCGTGTTAGTTACTTGTGCAAGTGAAATTATTTGACCAACAATAAATCATGTAAAACCATTGCAGTGATCGATCCCTTCTAAGACAATGGGAGGATTGCGGGCAACCCAAAATTGTTGTTACATGCAGGAATCAACAAGAAATGTAAGCAGGTGATTTTGTCGGGAATTTGTTGGGGGTGTTTCTCACCGTATATGTCAACTTACGTCAATAGTTGTGTAAGTGTACTTTCATTTTATTGTCAGGAATAAGCTAAGGGAAGCAGCTGAGAATATTGGCCTTCCCACTTTTGTTGTTGCTGATGCTGGAAGAACACAGGTGTTTTTCTTAATCAATTCGTGTAATCTCACAATTGCTTTACCTGAATGTAATGGCAACTTATAGGTCTAAAGGCATATCAGAACCAATAGACTCGTTATCCTGATATAATGTTAAAACCCCACAAAAGCCCTCAACTAGTCAACTTCCTCCCAAGTCCTCACCCTAACATTTCAGTGCTGCTTTGTCTTTTCTCAAAAACGGCGTCTCGCTTCAGATTTCTCTCAAAACCAGCGTTCTCTATCGTCAAATCCACCCTTAACAAACCAACCCTTAAACCCAAAACTCTCTATCCTCTACTCCCTGCTCGCTCCTCTACCACATTCTCAAGGTAAGCCCTTTAAAAATCTCATCTTGAAGTATAGGCTCCTTCGTTTCTCCAAACTTATTAATTCCAACCCTTTAATTTATCCTTTGGGTTTCCTTTAAACTACTTACCTTTGCTTCTAAATTGTCAAGCTTTAATTTTTTTCAGGCCTATTTCTCAATTGGGTTGTCTCCAATCTTTGCTGCCTCTCCACTCAGCTGTGTCTTCAGCTCGGTTAACGTCGTGTCTGGGAATCGATTCGAGGAGCTCTAGCTCATTGTCTCAGGGTATGCTTTGCAGCGCAAACCCAGGAGTTTGATTATCTTCAAAATGTTTGTAATTTTGTTTCCCCAAGCAACTTTTTAAACTCTAAAGTTAATTTGTAAAGCAATGTTGTTTGTTTAGGTTGTCTAATCTCATGATCATGATGTTCGTGCCCAATTAAGTGTCACTGAAAGCTACAATTTTGAGACCATTTATCCGTTCTTTTTTTGCTGCATCTCTTTTATAGTTCTCATCTTAATGGTATACGTTTTCCCTTTCTTAATGTTTTGTTGATAGTCTGAACCAAGTGAAAGTGAAGACATAAAGGTCTCTATTGTTCCTGTGTTAGGTTAGATAACAATTAAGCAAATAGGACAGGCAAAGTCTGCTTTGCTTGGTTTCAACTGTAAGGATGAAGTTAATCTAATAGAGATTAGTAAAAGGAAGAGTTTTTTTTTTGGGGGGGGTCGTCGAAGAAGAAGAGCTAGGCAACTTAGGGAAGACTAAATTATACTAACAAGTGAGTGAGATGTGCATGTATGATGATTTGATAAGTTGGGTGTATTGGAACAGGGGTAGATACAAACAAAGACACCTTGAGCTGGGGAACTCACATCCTTTGAGTGAGTTGTGTATGATTTATAGCTTTTTACACAGTACACTGATTTTTTTTTTATAGGAGCACTGATTTTTTTTATACTTCTTGTTTTGTCAATCGAAGTTAAAAATTGTTTGATACTCTAATATGATTGGGAATATAGACTCTACTTATGTTGACCATTTACTTTCTGCATATACTGTAATCTAATAGGCTCCCTATATGATACAGATAACATATACGTATAAGTCTTATTTCGTTCAGTATTGCTTGGTTTTTCTTTTCTTTTCAACATGATCTATAACCTTGTGTGATTCTTCTCTGTCAATGAAGAGTGTTTTACAACATAGGCCATTTTCTGTCCTGATTGTTATTTGATACTAAATTTAAATGGAGCTGTCAAGGCAAAACTTTACTTTTCTCCTGTTGAAATATGTAATTAAATGCACATATAATTGTGAGATAAGAGTTTTGTATTTGTCAGACCATTACTTGAACTGTATAAACTGATCACGAAACCCTGTTTGGTTAAGGAGAAGAATTTGATCTTTAAAATTTTAGTTGCAGGAAATCAGTGTGAAATATTCTTTTCTAGGAAATGTAGGATCGTACGAATCGTTCAAACTTCTTTCATTTCTTGCGCTCTAGTTATCTGTATTTGTCAAGTCTTTTTGCCGGTTTTGGTTGCTCCTGTGGCAAGTTATCTCTTATCTATTGTTTTATGCATCGTACGTATAATTTCTCATCATGCTATTTGGTAGCAGCTGCTTTATCTGTCAAGTGCCACCATACCTTGAAATAGTTTTAGTATATGAAGGCTTGTTTCTGGACCCTATTGATGTTTACATAATAATATAGCTTTATTCACAATTGACTCAAATAAGCCTCTTCTTTTACTTTCTTTCCTATAGTGCTTGCTAATGCTACTTGTTTTTATAATTTTGTACAGAACTAGGTCTCAGTGTGCCTTGATAACATAGCAAAACTGGAAGTACCGCATGATGGATCAGAGTCGTCGCTTTCCATTTTATGATCATGTCCATTTGGAGACTTCTTATATTTCATAAGTATTTCCTGTTCAACATTAGTTGAAGTTAATTTTCGAGTCTTGGATGCTGGATATAAGTTTATACTGCAAGAGCCAAGAGGTCTATTCACAGTTGCACAACTTTGGAAATTCTTCAGATTTCAGTTTTGGCAGTTGATTGAACTGTGTTTCTTTAAATTATAGAATTGTTTTTTGCAGGTACCTCATTTCTCTCGTGACTTTTAAATTATAGAATTGCTTTCAAGTCATGGTGGATGTAATGGAAAATGAAAGCAATGAATTGACATGCTTAATTTCATTCTCTATTCCCATCCTTATCTACCAGTAAAGCTTCCTAGTTGCCTCCAAATATACCAATGCGTGTATCAGTGCCGTTTTCTCGCGTCAGTCATATTTAATGTATTATCCTACCTTTGATGTGTCCCCTTTCTGATCCGACTTTGAAGGGTTTGGAATTCTGCCATGGTAAACCTTGTAAACAAACCTATGATTGTTCTATTATCTTCCTAAGGCAGGTGAGAAAGTAGAAAGTGAAGAGACGGGGTGTTGTCCACATGTCTCCACCATTAACACAACATTTGCAGTGCTTATAGGGCCTCTACCTCTCCATCCCCCCAAACGCCTTGCTTCCCTTTGTATATTTCTTTTTTGATTTGGGGGAAAACAAGCATGTGCTTCCATGCATTTTCAAACACAGGGAAGATAATGTTTGCAATTTGCATGATTGAACCCTCCCTGTCTGCTTATCCTGTTTTAGCTAGTCATTCTTTTCTTTTTTTCTTCTAGATCAAAGAATCTACCGGTCCATGTTCTTTTGTAAGTTATACGAAGTTACATTTTTCTTTACTTCATTGCTCTTGTTCTGATCATGTTCAATACCTTGCTACCCAACCAAAGTCAGAAACATAAACATTAAATTTATGCATAATCTGGAAAGAAAAAAACCTAACAAAATCCCCAGAAAATAAAAAGATTAATTGATATAGTCTATGAAAAGAAAATGTTTCCATAATAAGAATGATGATATTTAGTAAATGGAAAAAGGTAACTTTGGCTTCTGTAGTAGACCAAATTTGTCACTTTCGCCCTTATCGTATTTTCGCATCAATTTAGCCTTAAAGTTGTTTAATTGCATCATTCTATAACTCTACTCCTAAATTATAATACCTAAACCATAACCCTATTACCTATAAACACTAACTTATAATTTATAATTTAGGGTTTTAAGTTAGGGGAAGGATATAGAATGATACAATTGAACAACTTTAAAGGTTAAATTGATGTGAAAATATAATAGGGGCGAAAATGATAAATTTGGTCTACTACATTGTAGAGGTGACCCTTAAGCCTCGGTAAAAATAGCATGTTAAGAAGTTGGTTCAAATGATAGCTTCCAACTTCCCATGTTAGTGCCATTTTGTGCCAAAGAAAAGAGAGCTGAAAGTGAAGCCTGCAAGTTGTCCAAATGCAAAGACATTGACAGCAAAACTGGTCGCCAAAAGCAGACAATGTCTTTACTATTGAAATGGAAATATTACCACTCTGCATGGATGCCCATGTTTTCATAACACCACTATTATTTATTCCCATATCTCAATATTTCTAATAACAATGAATTTGGTATCCTTCTCTCATATAGTAGCATTCAAGCATGAACTTCCTTTTTCTTCCTCGTTTATTCTTTATTCTGATAATATTAACTGTGCGAGTGATTACATGCGGAGGGAAGAGACTAGAGAGTAGGAGAAAGCATGTGACATCCGCAAACTTCGCTTCTTTTTTCAGTTTTCACACAAAATTAATCGATTATATAAATACGTCTGCAAAAACTTACATATATATATATATTAACAACTGACCTACTGCAAGAATAACCTCTCTGTTATTTCGTTGGTTTTAACAAACAAGAGAAAGGAAATGAGGAAATGATTAATGTGTTGAGAATATTGTATGTGTTATATTCATATGATTAATTAAAAACTGATTTGGCAGGCCTATGGGATTAGCATTGCCTAGGATCGTGCATAGACAGTGGCATCGTCAACGAATATTGTAGCTCATGACTGATCAGGTTGCATATTTTTTTTTTCCTTTTAAAATCTCTCAGCTGGATCCCAATCCTTATTCGCATCACATGCTGCATGGTCTTTTAAGTCATGGAATAAGTTCTATTTTGAAAAATCAACCACATCTTGAAAACCTAATTTCCTATATATTATATTCATCAAAACCTGAATTTCCATGTTCATGTTTTCTGCAAAAACTTTTCCCTTTTTTTTATCATAATCATGTTAGTTCATTCTTGAAGCTGTTGTGCTAAACAAAGGGAAGAAGGGGAAATGGTATTCGCAGAAAACGATGCTAACAGTTATGGTATCGGCATTGATTTCATAAACATTCTCTGTACATATGTGAAACTTAAAAGCTATTTCATCATCAGCGTTTCATTTCACTGAAATTTATGCTGATAATTGGGTACAGTACTAGTTTTAAATAATAATACATATTCACTTAAAATAATCAGATGTATCTGCCGCCTGATTCTCTTGTTCCCATAATAGTTGGTGCATCGTTTGCACATTAACCTTCTAAACATCAAACTTTTGGCTAAGTATCGACTCCCTTGTAACTAGGATTTTAACCCTATACAAATAGAGCCCATGAAAAATGTACGCATTTACATTAATCTGCCGGTGGGGATGAATCCCAAAGATTACGTTTCGTGTGTCTTCAGCCAATTCAGAAAAACAAAAACTCCATGTGAGGTGTACCAATTCATGCAAACAAAATTAATTAATAAAGATTGTGTAGGTGATGGTTCTTGACTTTCTTTTTATGTCAAGGCCTCAAGGCTTTGCAAGGAAAGGTGGAAAATTAGAAAGAAAAAAGTAAAATTTCCTTCCTATTGTTGCGCTAGGTAAGAAGAATGAAAAAAAAAAACCCAACTTTTTCTTTATTAAAATTGTTTTGAATGATATCAAATCACATTTCCACTAGCTTGGGGAGGTATTGATGTATTCATGCATAAGTAAGCAAGCTTAGAAATGTTAATATTAATAATTAATGATGCCCACGATGTAAATAGTTATATCTACGTTACTCAAACTCAAATTATCAAGGAAGAACAAAATTTTCCTAACCATTAAAACCACTCCAAAGGTTCAAGATTTGAACTTTTCAAAATTAATTGAAGTAGTTCCAATCTAATGTTTAGCAATTGATTAATACTGGGGTACATAAGGACACCTAGTGAATGTATATTTATATGCATCTTGAAACATAATACATATACTATATTATGTATATATACTGGAGCTTAAAGGTCACGCTAATGGTGGAAGTCAAAACAATAATAAAAATTGAAAAAGAAAAAGATTGAATTCAATTGCCTGAAGTAAGAAAATTGGGTTTATAGAGTTTGCCAAATTAGGCCGGAAAAAGTCCAACTCAAGAGACGATTAGTCTACGGAATTATCCAAAAAATAAAACAACTGGAATTCAGTAACTAAATTAGTTCTGGGGGGAATTCAAGAACTCAAATTTAATTGAAGTTCCCTACTCTAGAATGAGCTGCCTGAAATCAGGGCCAACATGTTGGTGGATCAAGTAATCATCGCCGTTGGATACATCGAAAACCATGTTCTGATGATGGTGCTGCATGAATTGCTGTTGATGTTGCTGCTGGGCCCTTAACATTTCCTTCTGCCGCCTAAGCTCAAGCACCTTACGGTGAGAATTTGAATGTTTAGTAAGAACAAACGTCGGGCTCGAAGCGGGTCGGTATTCTGGCACAAGTCGCCCCGATTTATACCTCACCCCACATGCATTGCACAGTGTTTTGGGACCCATGGGACCAGTTCTCCACTGCGGCGTCTTATCCGTAGCGCAGTGCAGGCACTTCCGCCCATCGGAAATGGCCACGCCACCATCTTTCTTTTTCGACGACGTCGTTTTGACGGGCTTTTTGCCGGGTTGGTTTGGCGGAGGCGGTTGCACCGGGACGACGATGTCAGACTCGGAATAAGAAGATGTTGAGCTGAGAACAAGGAGACGGGAAGCCCAACTGCATGGCGCTGCCCGAGAGCGTTTGCTTCTTGCCTTGGCGGGAACCGACATATCCGGATTGAAAATTGGGTTGTCGGTATTGTTACCGTGGCTGTAGTCGCCGTTGTCAATGGCGTCATTAATTTGGGTGGGCAGAACGAGTTGGAATCCTTGGGTCTCTAATGCGTCGTCGGGTCGAATGTTCATTCCTGATAATAGCTGCTGCTTTTGTAGGTCATCACTTGAAAACGATTCCTCCACGAAATTTGACAGCCATTCAAGCTCAGCTAAATCGTCGCACTGTACATGAAAGGATAAAAAAATTAATATTATTAACAGAAGTATTTACTTGCAAAGTAGAAAACTAATATCATTCCGTAAAGCTATTCACGCACCTTTAACCAATTTGCGTTTGCCATGCACATGGCTTTTTATCTTCGTTTTGTTATAAGGAAAATGATCAAAAAGTAGAAAATACGTAAAATATTTACTTGCAACCGTATTTTTAGAATTCGAACCAAAATCCAAAATTTATTTTATTCCAAAAGTATTTTATTGCATGTACAAGGGGAGGGGGATGAAATTACCGGCACATAAAGGTCAGCGGAGGAGTGACCATCGGTAAAACCACGGCAACCAATACCGCCAACTAAATTGGGTTCGCAACCGGAAAACGATGACGAATTGCAGCTGTCGACGGCGGTAACGGTGGAAGAATCCGTGGAATGGCCAGCAACTGAGGAGTCGAACGTTTGTTCAGTTATAACGGCATCCTCGTTGGAAAAATCGAGCAAGTCTTCCACGATGAAATGGTCAGCGGTGGACGCTGGTTCTTCAGGCGCTAATTGAGAAGAACAGCTGCTTGCTTGAAAGAATTCTGGCGCGTCCATAACTGTTTCTTTTTCTTTATTTTTTTTTAAGTTTTCTTTATTTGGGAAGGAAGTGTAGAGTGTAGAGAGAAAAGAGAAAGGGAGAGAGAAGTGTGGGGAGCTGTGGTTTTTAAGAGAGTTTATTTGCGTTTGAAGGGGGCAGGCAGACAGCTAAAATGGTGCAATTTGACGACGTTAATTTTTTTTTTAATAATTAATACCAACAAAATTAAAAATCATGATATATAAATAAGCCTTGATTGGGATAAAGTAAAATCTAGTGTGAAGTTACTTTAGTGACCTTCTTGAGTTTTGGGTAAGGTCATAAATCAATCCGAGTTTCAACCATCGTGCATTTATGTGCTCATTTATTTTAATTTATTAGAATGCGTGTCAATACATATCGTGGTATAAAAATAAAATTATATAAAATAAAAAAATGAACTGCGATACATACAGATAAATAAAAATATAGTCATAAGTCAATACATGCTATGAAAAATTCCCTAAACTGGATGACAACAATACATCATTTAACATATGAAATAAATTAAAATATGACACAAAATAAATATAAAATAATTAAAACAGCGTAAAAAATTATATTAACATAATATAAATATTCAAACATGTAAAATACAATAACCAATTAGTATTATTGATTAATAGAAAAAGGCAATGTAATTTGTAATAATTAATTTTCATAATTATTTATTATTTAATTAATTTGGAATTTAAATTTTTAATATTTTGTTTTTAAGGTATGGGATATGACTAAGAATTAACAAAACTGGGGTGACCGGCCCCGCAAGTTCGCTTTGGTTTGATGATATAAATCTAACCGCACGTGTAGTCGTTGAGAGTTGATGATGGTAGTGACGGTTTACTCGCAATCATTGCTTCATTGCTTACAACTCCGGTTTACTCGCAAGTCACATAGGGCAGTGACGGTAATTTAAATAAAAAGATGTACCCTTTTTTGGGATAGCAAATTAAAGATAATTTACCGAGTATAATTGGGTAAAGAAGTAATTAACAAATTGATCAATCAATGATTAGGGAGTCCAATCTCTAGAAGTAACATATCTTTTAAGCTTGTCGCTAAGGCTTATGCATTAGCGTCCAAGTTTACAGCCCGACTCATCTGCTTTATTTCCCCTCGAGAGTAGTGCTTGTAATTTTTAATTACATTTCTGTTTTTAATTAGTTTCCTCTGACATTGTTTTTTTAGAGTTTTTTTATTTCACCTGTTAATTCGGGTATGATAATCAAAACCCACTTTTTAGCACGATTATTACAGCTAGTTGGACGGTCAGGATCCATAGAAGGAGCTACCAATTTGGGTTTTCATTTTTATCAGGGAACTGATGTCTATTTACATCAGAAAGAAAAAAGAAATAAAAATGTTATTAATTATTATCTTGAAGTATAGTATTTCTTAAAGTTAATGGGGGAGATGTTTGACAAACAACTTTTTTTTAAGAGTTTTTAGTTTATTTGAGTGTAAATAATTAATTAATAGTCAAACTCTTTTATTTTTGTGTTTGGTAAATACTATTTTGAAAGAGTTTATTGTACAAAATAAATTGAAAATGAAAATGTTGAAAAATTCAGCGGTTTGAAACAATTGATTGTAAAATAAGATGTTAAATAATATATTTGATCTTATTTTTTTTCCATAATTATATTCTTACCATAAAACATAATATAATGAAATAGCATTCGTCATAATATATCTAAGCTGAAATTTTATTTTATTATTCTATTTTTTAGTTCGAGATTCTCAAATATATTTTAGTTAATAAAATATAGCAAAACATGAAATTAAGAAAATATATAGTATTGATATTTTATACAAAGTTACTAGTATACAATATTAATATTTTTAAATATTAAATTTAAAAATATATTCAAAATTTTCGAAAATATTTATTAAAATATTATAAAACATATATATACTTAACAACTAAATGTATCATAACTTTATTTGTCATTTTACTTATATCAACCATCACCTAAATTTTACTAAACACTACTATATAAACAATTAATCAATTTAGTTTCTCAAATCAACTAATCAAATCAGTTAGTCAAACCAACTACTAAAATCATATATTAGCTGCCAAACACCCCTAATTTATTTTTAATTAAACGAAAATCATTGTATCTGTTTTTAACAAAATCCGCTGCTGAATGCACCAATCTCGAAGCAAGTGTATACCGAAGAGCGGATAAGGTTTTAAGTCTTTAAATTTATTGCTGTAGAGATATTTGGTCTCTTGTTTTATTTAATATTAATAACTTTTGTATAGTTTTAAATCTTATTACATTTCCCCCTTTAGCTTGAATTAAAAGATGTGCTGAAAAAAGTGAGAGTACCGAAGGCATTGCTTGGCGCGGAGGTCTCCGTTTAACAGACTTTTTCTTCATCCGTTTTCACTCAATTTTTTTTAATTGTAAAAGATTGGGATTTGGATGAATGGGTCCAATATGCACGTGATAGAGGGCGGGAGGGTGGTGGTGTCAGCTACCCATGTGAGTGCTTTGGCTCGTCTTAAAGGCCAGATCTGCCTGTGATCAATGCCACGTGGCTGCATCATCCGTGTATCTACTACTTCCGGGATGTTTTCAATTCGATCAAATGAGATTAAGGTGGTGTTTCATCCATGTTCGGTAATATTTTATTATTAATAGTAAATTTTTTAGGTATATTACCGGAAATGTTATTACCTCTCTTCCCTTAGGTATTGTAACATTATCGATGTTTTGGACTAAAATATCCTTAAATTTTTATTTTTTTCAAAAATATCATTCTTCTGTCATTGAATAATAAAAATTCTACGAATGTTAAATTATAAATTTATCCTTAAATTATTTTAGATTTACAAAAAAAATCTATAATTAAAATTTTATATGAAGTTCAGGGGTTAAAAAAATTTTACCCTTTCATTAAACCTTTTTTATATTTTTAATTTTGTAAAAAATTATATAAATATTATGAATTTAATTTTTTAAAGAAAATATATAAATATTTTACAATTTGTAATATTATACAAATATATAATAAGACAATTTGATCAAATATACATTCCAATAATCTTTTATTCCTTTAACCAAACACGGTAATCTTACATTCCTGCTAAACCAACCAAACACAAAATATAACATTCTCAGTAATCTTATTCCCTGGTAATCTTTTATTCCCACTGGTAATCTTTTATTCCCACTGGTAATCTTTTATTCCCACTGGTAATCTTACATTCCGTGAACCAAACGCACCCTAAGGGCACGTGCATGATGGTCACGTGAGTGGTGTTGAAGACGCACCTGTTCCATCGGGACATCTCGCGTGGGTCGGGTCGTTATCTCGTTTTGCTCTCGGCTGGTTTCTTTTCTCTAGCCCTAGTTTGCTAAAACGCTGAATCACCGACCTCTCTTATGGCTATAGTTTTAAAAATAATATATAATTTATTAAATCTAATAATAATGCATTCAAGGTACATAGTTTTCATAAATAGAATTTTCAACCGTAATTAGTACATTTAAATTTATTTAATACCACAATAAACACAAATCAAGAAATCTCTTTAATTAAAATGTTTGTTATTATTTCTTGAAGTTTCGGGTTCAAACACTATGTCTGCAGAGAAATTGTTTCATTAATCCTTCTCACCACGTTATCAACGGTCTCAATCAATTAAAAAGATATACTTTAATCTTTTTTTCGATGTCATTCACACTAGAGGTGGGTATACGGGCTAACCGGCCCGTTTAGCCCGTGGGTTTTGACGGTGCGGGCTTAAAAGGAGCGGTTTAAAAAGCCCGCATTCATAAACGGTTTTGAATTTTAAGGCCCGCGACCCGTCCATTTAACCTGTGGGCTAAACGGGCTTACCCGCGGCCCGTTTAATAAAAATAATTTTAAATGCTTTAAATGCAATAAAAAATAATGTTTTAACTTACTACACCTTTAAAAATGATCGAACAACTTGAAAAGGAAGGTAGTGCCGTCAAAATAATAAATAATATTTAAATTTTATTTTAAATAGCCGGAAATGATTATAAAATAATATTTTTTTAATTTTTTTAATCATTAATATATATATATATATATATAATGATATAATTACTTAAAATCAAATTAAAAAAATAATATTCACTTATATCACCAAATTAAAAAACAAATAAAACAATAATCACATTATACTTTTATAAAATACGATTATTAAAGGCTATAATAAGTCTAAAATACTATTTACTTTTTTTAATTTTTTTTTTAAAATGAAGAATAATTTGATACATTAATGATGTATATTTAAATGAAAAAAAATATCAAGCAGGGGTAGAATTATGACAAACGCCCTAATAAATTTAAGAACTACAATAGTTATAAGTAACATTATATTTATAGGTAATTTATTTTCTTTTTCTATAAAATTCTTTAAGTTTATTTTCTCTAAAATTTTATAAATTTTAAATTAAGCGGGCTTTAGTGGGTAGCCCGCGGTTATACCCATTAAACCCGCGGGTTTAACGGTCCGGGCTAAAAAGCCCGTAATTTAAACGATCTTTAATTTTTGAGGCCCGAAACCCGCACAGATCGCGGGTTAAACGGGTAGCCCGCGGGCCTTAGCCCATATACCCCGCTCTAATTCACACATATAAATTTTATTTTCCAAATAAATTCCGTCGTTGATGCATGTCAAAATTAAACATAAATTTAAGCATTGTTTTTTGGTCCTCATTAATATATATAAAAAAGGTTTTACCTATCTTATCTATTTTTTTCTTCTTTCAAAGTTTATCTTTTTATCTCTGTTCGTCCAAATCTTTTTCATGACTTTCAAACTTGAAACACCTAAAATTTTCATTTACCAAGTGATGTATGATCATCGGGGAAAAAACACAAATTTAAAAACTTTGTTATGTCTTCAGGTCAACAAAACTGATTAACAGACTGCTTCAAATGCATCTATAAAAAGCCAGGCCAAGAGAGGTAAAAAGTTACATGTTTTAATGAAAATCCTAAAATAATAGTTAAATTTAGGTTTAATTTTAATACATATTAATGAAGAAATTGATTTGGAAAATAAAATCCA